TCCCCCCCCCCTTATTTACTTTGCTTCCTATCTATTTCAAAAGAATGAAAACTCAGCAACTCTAGTAATCCTTGCTGGGTTAGGTTACCAAACAGCCTCAAAATAGCTGCCTTAGGGTGGCTCTTATGACAATATCTGAAGATGGTGGCTCTGCAACAGAAGCACATGATACAAAATAGAAACCAATTAATAAAATATGCTAATAATTCATCGATGCTAAATAGTTATTATTTTGGCAAAGATCTTATAGTCCTTTCTAGTGTACAGGTTGCCTACCGCGTTATGCCTATTTAAAGGAAAGCAGCAGCTGTCTTCTACGGCTCTTAATCAAGAATAATGCCTGAGAATAAGTCATTGCCTTTTCTAGAACACATGTTGGCTCCATCTCTAAATATATGAGGTGGTACACAGAAGTGTGTTGCTTATAGGAATAGAGGCATATGGATCTTTCAAAACCTGTAATTCTGGGGAGGAAAACCCACATAAAATAAAATTGTAAATAGATGCAAACAAATTTAGAAGCAAACTAATTTGAAGTTTTAAAGTGTGTCAACATTTTCCATTTATTCTGTCATGGAAAAGAGCTGACTTCTCCAAAGAGATATACAACCCAGAGGTCAGACCTGCCTTTGACATTTCAAATGCACCTGTAAAATGTAAACTAATAAACTGTTTTATGTTTTTGCATAAATATTTTTGAAACTCTCAGAATTCTGTTGCTGACATATAGTTCTAATGAAATAATTAACAGGAACACTCTAAGCCTAGGGAAAGGGACTGTTATGAAGTCTGCCAGCTAGTGCAAGAAGCAGCACAACAAAAGCTTCACAGGTTACTCAATGACTTGATCTGCTAGTCTTTATGGACCAGTACCTCCTAAGAATTCTGGGAGTTCTACATTGCAAGGTATGGGATTTCATCGGTCAATCTTAAACTACAATTCCCAGAGTTCCCTATTGTAATAATGAAGGCACCCTCAGGGTCGATCCAACCCTTTCCTCTGACATACTTTGATCCTGAGGTAATTCACACCTAAGCATGAACAGCAACTGGAAAACCAGATCCCTTTGCTGCCGCCACCCCCCCCCCTTCCATTACAAACCAGTTTCTCCCTTCCACACCAGCCCTCTGGGGAACCAGGAGAGGATTGAAGGGGAAATCCCCACCCGACCCCAGCTAACTACCAAAAAGGAAACCAAACAAAACTTTGGAGAGTCAATAGCTCAGTCAAGCTGAGGGGTGTGTGAGAAGATTCTAGGATTTAAACAAAAATTAATTTTATTAAAGGGGCCAAAAGAAGGTAAGGTTACACACACACAACACACTGTTAAAAGGAGATAAAATGCAACCCCCCAAAACCCTAATGCAATTCCAGTTACAGCCAAACAACTAAATTTCCAACCTTGCCTGAGGTAACCCTCCCCCTTCCAGGTCTCCAGCCAACTCTCTCTAAAACCCCAAAAACTATTCCTGCCTCAGAACCTGGCAGAAACCACTTCTTTTCCTTTATTGGCTCTTGGGGACCAGGTGACTCCCTCTGGGCACATAAGGCTGGTTTGTTATAAAAAGGGCCAGTTGCTCCCCACTACACCTGTCAACAGGGGATTATACTTAAACCACTTTAATTCCATAATGTAAACAATCCAACAAGAACTAGAGGAGCCAGAAAGGAAGTACTCAGCAGAATGCCATACATTCTTAAAGAACTACTAAATTCTAAGACTATTAAGTTGCATGAGCCATGGATACAGTTTCATAGTGTATACCAACTATTCTGAAATGAACTCTGCAGCATTAAAAAAAAAAAAACCCACTATCATAGCAATAAGCAACTTGTCAAATGGAGATATTTCATCCCTTTTTTGTCAGCTGCTACTGAGAGAAACTCTTCATTTACTGTTCCAAATTTAGTTGCAAAAATCTACTTTTTCAATTCTCTTAGAATTAGATTTGATGATATATTACTCTAGATCTAATGCTGAATATACAAGTGGCCTTCATTACTTGCTGTTCCAGCCTGCCAACTGCAGATAAAAACAAAACAAAACTGGATAATTACACCTTGAAAAGATGTACATTACGCATCTGGAAAAGCCTATCTGCCATGCAGAAAGTAACAATAATGACAGATAAAAACCTTTACCATGGATACTGAGATCTGTTTTCCTTTAAAAAACCATGGACATATAAAACCATATTGAGATGGAACTGTGGATAACAAGTTCAATTTTATGCACCTAACAGTAGATTTAGCCATATACAAAGGGACCTAAATGCAATCCCTTCAGTATGGGGGTCTGGATATGAGAATCTTGAATAATTGTTCAGCTGTGAATCTCACCAAGTAATCTTGGATAATCTAATCTGTATTATCTAGGTGTTGGGAGGCTCAAAATGAAATAAAACTGTAACCCTCCTATATAATGAATGCATAAATATTTCCTCTTAAGGCTTAATACTTGCATATATCCACCTTACATAGAAAATGGAACATAATGTTGTGTTGCACATATCTGTCTAAACTAAATTATATTCCTAACTACCAATGTCTCTAATTTGTAACAAAATATTTTGGGTATAATACAAAAGAAGAAAAGAAGGGATAAACTAAGAAGACAGTGATGATGCTTTGTAAACAAATTCTATATAGATAAAAGAAGATCATTCTAAATTGTATTTTTAATTTTTATTTGGCTGTAGATCTGGTGATGAAACATTTAAAAATGCAAAGAAACCTGTGGTCACAAGTAAATACTGACTACACTCATCATGTAAAGCAAAAACACACAAGCCTCCATCACTTATTCACTTACTGATGTTTTTTCAGGCAATTTATTCCCCATCTAAATCCTAACAGACTCCAGGCAGTTTACAGATCCTGTTTGCAAAATACTGTCTCTTCCTTTAAATATAACAGGAACATATATTTCTAAACTCAGCAGCTCAATTGCTGAATGACCTTTGATTGTCTTTTTAAAATCTTCCAGTTCTAACAGATTAATAGACTAGAGTTTATACAGCAATGATAAAGCCACATATACGAGATATGCCTTGGTTCACGAACGCTTCTGTTCACAAACAATTCGGTTCACAAACAGCACCGTTCACAAAATTTTGCTTCCGTTCGCAAACTTCGCATCAGGTGACGAACACGACCCACGGCCATTTTCCCTGCTGTGACACGTGGTCGTGGCTTCCTGTA